AAATTGCGGATGCCCCACCCCCGGGACTGACAACGTGAGCAAATGCCCCGCGGTTGCCCGGGGGGGATGGGCACTGCTGGAATTGACTGATGCATAATGTACAGTATTGCTTCAAAGCTGGATTCGATATTTTAAAAGATATGGTAAAGCTACAGCCGATGAAATGACTGCGGAGACGTCGGCAAAAATGTACTCAAATTATGCTTCAGCGTGAATAATTAACACTTTTTTTCCCGCAGTGGGGTTGGCTAGAAACCATACTGAAACCATACTGTGAACTATTAATAAATTTCATTATATCAATTAATTTCGGTAACCTCTAAACAACAATTCTTGGGTTGCTTTGTCGAAGTTGTTGTAAATTGCAGTAAGCCTTTTGCAACAGTTGATCACGTGACATGCTTTTCAAGAACACACTGATTTAGTCATTGGTAATGCATAATGTTATCAGAAACGAGATAACATTTACAAATAAGCTTAGAGGCAAACTTTCAGATTTATATCCTTTAAGAAAGAATTTTTATGGACGTTAGAAAGTAGAAGGATTTGTATGGGAAGAAGACGCTTTGCCCTCCAATCACGCTCCAGTGGTTTTTCATACAAATCCTTGCAATTTTGTAAGTTTTCAAACTAACGATGATAATAATTCGATTTGTATGGCGCTAATTATATAACATATTCATAAGCGCTTTCCATTTTAAAATATAAAAATATAAAATATACATATTTATAAAAATTTAAAATATAAAAAGTAGCATTACAAATAAAAAAAATAGATAAAAGTAATAAAATTTATCACTGAATGTTATAGGCTTCTCTGAACAAAAACTGTCATAAAAACTCTGTCCTTCGGTTTAATTTAAGAGCTTAGAATCTTCCATTATTCCTAATATTTTACCCTGATTTTTTTTTTTTATGCTAGCAGCATCCTTTTGTAGTGATTAATAACGGAAAAGGTTTCTGGAGGGCAAAGCTTTCCGTCGCTTCCGTACATAACTCTCTTATTTTTGCAATATTCAAATCGTCGTTAAATCTCAGCCTTACATGGCATTGGTCTGAAAATTGCTGTTCCGGCTATTTACAACATGTTCTTTTCAGTTCTGAAAGTTATATATCCATTCATTTTCGCCGATAACTTCACGGCCAAGAATACTAAATCCGTATTTGTAAACACTGCCAAACCGAATTTTGTAGTTCTGTTTGTGTAAGTAGGGGCGACTGCTTCGTAGACTGCTAAAACTGATTATTCTGTTACTGTTGGATACCAAGAAGCCATTTTTCTTATACGACTCTGGCAAGCTGCGAGAACACGTGAAAAGCACTGCCACTGGCAAAGCTTGACCTGGCCTAAACGTCTTTGAAATTTCGGAAGTTTTCTGTTTCTACTGAACTGCATTTTAGTCTTGCCTTTACAAATCTTGAATGATAATCAATCTTAAACGAAGCTTCTTTAACATCATGTTCTTTCATTTGGCCATCTTCCGTTGAGAAGTATATGTTTTAAATTTCCTATTTGACACTCGCACGTGGTGATTGCACATTGTACCTGTTTATGAAGATTTCCTTAGTTTATTTGTTCAATTTCATACGGTTTGGTGAGATGCTCATTGCTGATATTTCTTTAATAAAAGGTTACTGCTTCGTGCAAATGATTAGTATTTTATAAGAGCTCAGCTTTTAGGCTTTTAGGCTAATTAACAAATCGAATGAGGTTTAGCGGGGTCTATACTCTCATTGATAACGAGACGCGTCATCACAGTGGTCAAAATGTTGTGGACTCACGGGGCGCAGCCGAGTGAGTCCACAACAAATGTTGACCACTGTGATGACGCATATCATTGTCGATAAGAGTACAGACAATGCTAAACCTCGTTCGATTTGACACATTGACGCGAGCAGCGTTGTCTGGACTCTAATCGACTGCAGCAAATTAGCCAATCAGATTGCGAGATTAGCTGCAATTGCGGTAAAAATCTATATATTAGTTACGTTTTTCGTGTGCTTCCTTTTAAAGTAATTTCTATCTAGCCGTGTTATGTCATATTATATTTAACCACATACTTATCATTGTTGTTTATTTATTTAATTGTTAGGTTTACTGGTATCAATTTCACTTTGTTAAT